TTTTTTTTAAGCTTCCACATTTGAGCGATCTCATATGGTATTTTTCTTTCTCTTTCTGGCTTACTTCACTTAGAATGACATTCTAAAGGGACATCCATGTTGCTGCAAATGGCATTATGTTGTCGTTTTTATGGCTGAATAGTATTCCATTGTATAAATATACCACATCTTCTTTATCCAGTCATCTGCTGATGGACATTTAGGCTGTTTCCATGTCTTGGCTATTGTAAATAGTGCTGCTATGAACATGGGGGGCATGTGTCTTTTTGAAGTAGAGTTCCTTCTGGATACATGCCCAGGAGTGGGATTACTGTGTCATATGGTAAGTCTATTCCTAGTCTTTTGAGGAATCTCCATACGGTTTTCCACAGTGGCTGCACCAAACTGCATTCCCACCAGCAGTGTGGGAGGGTTCCCTTTTCTCCACAGCCTCTCCAGCATTTGTCATTTGTGGACTTTTGAATGATGGCCATTCTGCAAAGGCTAGCTTTTTGTAAAAATAGCTACGACCTTTTTACAGGCACCACCTCCAGTCAAGACCTCATTTTGGCTTCACATTATGAGGCAGAATGGGACTAAGAAGTTATTTTGCTCATGATCACACACCAGTGTGCAAGAAGAGGGCTGGCACTGAAACCAGGACTGTCCAGCCAAAGGTCACACCAAATACAGCCTTAAAAATTCTCAAGGGAGCAAAATTCTTTAACATAGAATATGCTGGTAATCTCTGTCCAAAATGAGACAAAATAACTATGTGGTAACCCTATGTGTTGCCACTAGTAGGGTGCACATGACCATCTGTAGATCTGATGTTATTATTAACTTTGCCTGGTAACCTAACACTCGCCCTCACAACTGACCGTCAATGTCCCGCCACCAAAAAAAACTGACAAAGGTGCAAAGGTACCCTTGCCAAACCAAATGCGGGTCCACAACCCACTCAAGTCCACTTTTCCAAAGTAATGGCACATCATTTTTTTGGATGCTGTGCTTGATTATACTTTGCAATCCTTCACATACTTCATCACTCTGCAGTAAATGGCCACAGCCCAACAGGACAACCAGACGCTTACTGCTCCTTCCAAAAACAACTGCAAGGGCACAGTGAGGAGGAAGGAGAGCAGCAGCGGGCTCAGGACTGATGACTGAGAAGTCCGCGGCTGTGGTGAGGTTAGGACAGCACGAAGCCCTAACAACGGGGGTCAGGAGTCAGGCCCACGCTGGGTTTGTCAGACTACACGTGGAGGGCCACGTTCCCACCTGAATGTTGCTTATTAAAATCAGGGCAATGTGGACAAAGCAATTCATGTAGAAGATGAGCTGGGAACTAAAACCACACCTCCTGCCGGAGGAACAATGGAAGAAACTGAGGTATTTTTCATCTTGAAAACCAGAACTCTTACAAGGAAATGCAAAGGGATTTTTTTCAAATACTTGAAAGGCTGCCAGCGTATGCACTGTTCACTGGCCTGACAAAGCCAGACCAGTGGAACACACGTTAAAGAGAGAGAATTTCTACTGAACACACAGAAAAGCTTTCTAACAATCCAAACTGCGAAGACCAAAACGTTCTCAGGAGGATTCCCCAGGCCAAGCACAAGCCGGGGGAGGGCCCAGGCGCTGAACCCCACCACCTCCGAGGTCCCCTCTCACCCGAGTGTATGGTGCTCTTTCCCCCAGGCAGAGCCATAAGCTCTGAGTTGTTTATAGGCACCCTTCACTCTACTCCACGCCAGCAGCAGGGCTATTTACTTCAGCAGCTCCTTGAGCAAAGGGTGGCGGGGGCGGAGAGATGACCTTTTTGAGGTGCAAACATCAACTCAAGAGGCCTGTGCCCTCGCAAACAGCAACAAAACACAGGCACCAAGCCAGCAGGGGAATGTGGAAGGAGAGAAGAGAGCAGAGGGAGAAAAAAGGAGGCGGAGGGGAGGGGAAGGGAAGGGGGAGGAGGGGGGGAGGAGGAGGGGGAAGGGAAGGGGGGAGGGAGGGGAGGAGGGAGGGGGGAGGGGGAGGAGGGACGAGGAGGAGGGAG